CTGTCTGCAGCCTGTGCAGCGTGGGTTCGATTCCCAACCAGCCAGGGAGAAACCCATATGGGTGGCAAACCTCTCCTGCCTCGCCCACTGCTCCCCTCAGCAGTGTATTTCGGTCATCTGCCTGTTCTGCTCCCCACTCGGTCTCTGGTGAATCCTCTCACCCTCCCACACCTCTGGCCTGTACCCCGGTTCTTGTATAAATAAATAATAAATCTTTTAAAAAAAAAAAGAACATGGCAGGTTTTGTTGATATTAATTCACTAGGAGCCCATACATTGTTTTCTGGAATTTATCCTCAGTAAATTTCTTCTTTTTTTTTTTTTTAAAGATTTATTTATTTATACAAGAACCGGGGTACAGGCCAGATGTGCGGGAGGGTGAGAGAATTCACCAGAGAAAGAGCGGGGAACAGAACAGGAAGACTGACGAAATACACTGCTGAGGGGAGCAGCAGGCGAGACAGGAGAGGTCTGCTGTGCCATGTGGGATTCTTGCTGCCTGGCCGGAATCGAACCCCCACTGCAGAGGCTGCCGACAGCTTCACAATGCGGTGCTCAACCGCCTGTGCCACCAGGGAGGCCCTTCAGTAAATTTCTGAAGTCAATCTTCAGTGTACAAGATTTTTCTGCACTTGTTTAGCCTAAACACATTTTATTATTATGGATTTACCTACCTTTAGGATAGATAAGATAGGTACATTTTGAGTTTTTTAAGACTTTACAGTATCTGGTTTTGTGTGTATGTAGTGGGTCAATTTTTGGAAATATTATTCAAAATTTTCTTACTCTCAATAATTACTTCATTAGAATTAAAACATGAAGATAAGGCATTCATTTCTTCAGGGTCTTAATTAGAATAGAAAAGTGAACAATGAGGAAAATCCTTGCTTTTTTATCTTAAAAATAGACATTTGAATTTCCAGACAGACAGTGACTCTAAGAGAATAAACCTTCAAGATACCAGAACCTAGTTAGAAAGGCTAAAGGCATAAAATATTTGTGTAAACAACAGACTTGATAGATTATTGTATTTAGTCATATACAGTCCTTCTATCTTCATTAGTCCCCAACAATCTGACTCACTCTGATGGGGGAGAGCAGAACCACCAACGAGAAGGGTTCCTTGTGGGGGTTGCAGTGGAGTGGGATACAGAATCCCAGAAAGGTGAGAATATGAGACAAGAGGGGATGTGAGGGCCTCCCTGGTGGCACAGGGGATTAGGATACAACCTATGAAGCTATCTGCAGCCACTACAGCACGAGTTCAATCCCTGGCCAGGGAGCTGCCCACATGGCGCCGCAGATATCTCCTGTCTCTCCTGCTGCTCCCCTCAACAGTGTATTTCAGTCAATCTGCCTGTTCTGTTCCTCACTCTGCCTCTGGTGAATCCTCTCATCCCCCACACCTCTGGCCTGTACCCCAGCTCTTTTATGCATAAAATAAATCTTTTAAAAAAATTTTAAAATAAGAGGGGATGTGAGCTTCACTTCCATGGAACTCGGGGAAGTGACACCCCTCACAGTGCCCCTCAAAATTCTCAGCATGATGTGAGTGTAGAGATGGCTGCAAGTATGTCCTGTGTCCTGTTGCTTGCTCCCCACCCAGAGTGCCAAAGAAGAACTGGTGAATGTTTTCTGTGTCCTTCAAGAGGGGCAAAGCAAGAATTGAGAGAGAGCTAAGAGCTCAGAGAAGACTTACGATCAGAATAAGAAGGTTGTAGCTGTTATTGGATACTACATGAGAATGTGGGTATCAGCAGATAGCAAAGATGACAACTGAGGACCAGATGTTCTACATTCCTCCCCAGACTCAACTTGTAGGTTTGACTCTACATATTCCTCTCAAAACTTAGGAGTAGGTAACGGTGTGGGAGAGCCTTAGGATAAACTGGGATCCTGCTGAACTGACTGAGATGAAGTTTTAGTGATTCAGCAGAGAGGGAACTTGCAGAGACAGCTAGCTATTCATCAAAGGTTTGTGCAGCCCTTCTAGAAGTTGTTTGGAAGCAACTGCCTGGCCAAGGATATTTTCTACCTACTATCACTGTTAATTTAATAATTGAGAGTATGGTCTTGGAGAACCAAGGATCCCTGTGCCTTGGAGCAGAATCTGTGTATCTGACATCCCCATTGACCTCCATAGTGAAATCTCCAAGAAAGAAGAGAAGTCCTACCCCAAAGCATCCAACACCAACATGCTATAAAATTCATCATTGTGACCCTCAACCTGTGATACTGGTGCGACATCCCACCAGCCTCCATGGAACCCTCTAAAGATATGAGTCTGTAAGTATGAAATGGTCCCCATTATCTACTCTCCTTGCTGGTTATTGCAGTAATTTTCAAATATATATATATAATATACATATATATTATTTTTTAGCAGTGGAATCCTATTTATCCAACAAAATCTTATAGCATCCTGCTGTATAAAGTAGGGGGGAAAGCTAGGTTTCATTGCTAATTTATTTTATAACAAATTTTATAACAGTTACTTGGTTCATAGATAATGAATGAGAATTCAAAGCTTATTTATGAGATTTTGATAAACACAAAAACTTCAAATCTGGAACGATTACTGATAATTGCAGTAACCCCAGTTTCAGCTTTTAAAAAAGTGGTATCCAGGCAATAGGCTATTATTCAGCACTAAAAAGAAATGAGCCATCAAGCCAAGAAAAGACATGGAATAAAATTTAAAACAATTTACTAAGTGAAAAAGTCAATCTGAGAGGCTATATATACTGTATGAGTCTAACTAAATGGCATTTTGGAAAAGACAAAATTATGGCAGTAGTAAAAAGATTATTGGTTTGCGGGGAGGGAGGAACAAAGAAGCAGAGCACAGAAGATATTTAGGGCAGTGAAACTATTCTATAGACTATTATAATGACAAGTATATGTCCTTATTCATTTGTCCAGAAATATAGAATGTATAACACCAAGAGTGAACCCCAATGTAAACTGTGAACTCCAGGCTGATGATGCGTCCATGCAGGTTCACTCATTGTAATGAAGGTGCCATTCTGTGAGGATGTTAATGGTGGGGATGGTAATGGGAGGGAGGAGCAGTGATGAGAACTCTGTACTTTCTGCTCCATTTTGCTGTGAACCTAAAACTGCTCTAAAAACAAAGTCTATTAATTACAAAAATGCCAGTTAGACATTAAAAATCAGAAAAAAATCAATTCACTAATAAGACTAAATAATTGCTCAAATTCTGTATCATCAGTGTCAAGTCAGAAAGCAGCACCCCCAATTCATAGATAATGCTGTTACTCTTTCAACTGTGCATTATCACCCACTGGTGACCAGTTATACGGTCGCTTGCCATTGTACAATTGGTGGTGATACTCTGATGAGAACATGCACCAAGCAGATGATTCAGAGCCTCACCCCACACTAAATTGAGAACAGTGCACATGGGAACTCCCAGTACAGTGTTATGTGAGCAGATGTGCACAGACTTGGATTAAAGAAAAGATCAGCTCGGAACTACACTTTTTTTCTAATCAAGGACACATTTAAAGAAGATGAAATAAATGCACAGGGATGGCAGGAAAAGTTATAATCCAAGATTTATAAAAGGGCATCATTCGATAGCAGGCATAGTCATGTGGCTGTCACCCCGTGTGTCAGAAAGCAAAGTGTAACCAACTTGCTTGTGTCTGTTGTCTTGCTACACACTCAAATTCACTTAGACTCTATGTATTTTTTTAAAGATAGATTTATTTATTTATTTATTTATTTATTTATTTATTTATTTATTTATTTATTTATACAAGCACTGGGTACAGTCAGAAGTGCACGGGAGGGTGGGAGGATTCACCAGAGCCAGAGTGGGGAGCAGAACAGGCAGAATGACAAAGTACACTGCTGAGGGGAGCAGCGGGCAGCAGGAGAGGTCTGCGCACCATGTGGGACCCTCGCTGGTGGCCAGGGATCGAACCGGTGCTGCAGAGGCTGTGGGCAGCTTCTCAGCCCAGAGCTCAACCACTGTGCCACCGGAGAGGCCCAACTCTATGTATTTTAAAGAAACTCAAATTAAATACTTGTGGAACCTGACAAACCTCCACTTGGTAGAAACTTGATTCTTGTTTGATCAGGCTATATTATTCAAAAGTTTTGCACAATGTATGTTTGAACATGTCTATTATAATTCCAATCCCCTTTCTCCTGCAAAATAATGAAGCACGTACTGTTCCACAGCTGGACTAAATATGACATTCTCCCTCTCTCTCTCTCTCTTTTCCTTTTGTAATCATGACGGTGGTTTATGTTTAATTCTAATCTTTCTGAAGTTTGTGGGAATGTATGGTGTTATGTGTGGATCAAAAGCAAATGTTCATTCAATTAAATGTTACTGCACCACTATTTATTAAAAAATGATTTCTTCTTCAGGTTGTTGATTTTGATCTGGCAAATGTATTAAATAATTATTGTTGGAATTAATTTTCTGGTAACTTTGATACCATTGATTTTACAAAACTTGAAAAGAACAATGGCATGGCATATAGTTCAGTAATTGTTACTTTGTAGTAAGTTCAATTCCAGTAGGAAGAATCTAACACTGCTATCTTCAAAAGATCCTTGACTTGTTCAATTGTTCTTCACTAGCAATTTGCAGTTAGGTAGTCTTTTGAGGGATTAAAACACTAAATAACTTTGTTTCTATGCCCAGGTTTCCTCTTGGTTTTACCTCAGACATAGTGAAATTGGTATCTTTGGGTGTAACATACAAGAAGATGCATGTTAAAGAAGTTCTCCTGTTTGTTACAATTTGAGAGCTTCCACCTTAGACATTAAGGTCATTTTATTTTTATATACCTTGCTTATTTTTTTATTAAATTTTTAAAATTGAGGTAACATTTGTTTATAGTACTGCATGTGATTAAGGGTAATAAGCTGTCGGGTAAATGGTTTTCAGGATTTTCTGCCCTCCTCCCATTTGTTACATTGTTACAAGTTGTGTTACTTACTTCTGTGGGCCATGACTTAGTATTGAGATATGGGCCAAGAGAAGCAGAAGAGGCAGGAGAGAGAAGGGAAGAAGGAAGGCCAGAGAAGCCCAGAGTGAAGACTTGCTGGAACTTGGAGGCCTACTGGCCTCCTAGACTCCCGGCACCCCTGCCTGCCGTGTACCTGGTTGCTGCACTACATGTAAAAGCTCAATAAAACCCTGAGGAAGCCACCGAGGGCTCCAGGACTCTTCTTTACCCGGTCAGTATAGGATCATAGAAAACCTGCTCAGTGGCTCATCCTGCTGCTACATGGGCTCACACTTCCTCAGAGGTAAGTCACCATACCACATCCATACCCATAGTCCTTTACTATGGACCACTGGGCCTCCTCACCCCTTTGTTGTCACCCCCTCTGCCTCCTCCTCTGGTAGCCTCAGTTCTATAATCATACTTCTAGGACTTGTTTGGCTTAGTTTTGTCAGTTTCTCTTTTTTGTTTCTCTGTATTCCACGTATGAACAAAATCATCTGGTATTTGATTTATTTCACCTAGCACAATCACCTCCAGTTCTATCCATGTTCTTGCAAATGGCAAGAGTTCCTCTTTTTTTTTTATAGCTGAGCAGTATTCCATTGTTACAAATACCACATCTTCTTAATCCACTCCTTTGTTGTTGGGCACTTAGGTTTCCCATATCTTGGCAATTGTAAGTAGTGCTGCAATGAGCATCAATGTGCATATAGCCCTTTGAATAAGTGTTTTGGTATTCTTTGGGTAGATGTAGAGGAGTAGATTTGCTGGATCATATGGCAGATCTATGTGTAATATTTTGAGATACTATATTGTTTTCCACAAGACCAGTCTACTTTCCCCAGCAATAGTGTATGAAGGTTATTAAGGTCATTTTAATTCTGTCTCTTCTCCCAACTGCCTAGTTCATCATTCTGTCTTTCTTTATATTCGTAGAAAATTTTTTTCTTTATCATGTTTGGATTATGTTTGCTTCCAATTATTTTATATTCATTATTAATGTAAATATGATGTTACTCCTGTTTTCTTGTTTTTATTTTTCCTTTATATCAATGGTATATAGGAATACAATTGATTTTTGAGAAGCTATTTCTATCTCCTTAACTTTTCTGAACTCATATTATTGCTAATAGATTTCTGGCTTATTTTTTAGAAACTCAGTAATTACGTTTTCCACAAAATTTAACATGTACTTCTTTCCCTGCTATATTTATGCCTCTTATTTCACACTTAATTTTTATATCTATTTGACTCGACTACATTTTAGAGCTATTTGAAATGGGGATGACTGGCTTCTATATTAGCATGGAAGTTGCCACTCTGCTAATGAGCAAAAAGCTGAACAGACTGATAAATCACCAAGTCTTCTTAGATCTTAGGAGAAATAATTGAGGGCAAACTGCTGCCCTCTAAGTTTCAGCAACCAGGTTGTGTTGCTGACGTGGAGTTCTCAGCACAGGGCAGGTGACTTCTTGCAGTGTAGGCATCACCTGGGAACATAACATGGATGTAGACTCCCAGAGTCTACAGGTGGGCCTCAGACTCACTGAATGCAAATCCGCATCTTCATGACACCCCAGGAGATGCATAACATGTTCAAGGTCAAGAAACACCAATCTCAGGAGCTTGCAGAATTGTCCACCAGAGGGCAGGTTTGCAGCAGGCACAGGTAGCCACAGCCAGTCACCCCTCTCCTTCAAAGAACACCAGAAGTGGCATTTACTTGGAGCTTGTTTGGAAGTTTGGAACTGTTGCTCATGAACTCTGTGTGTGTGTGGGGGGGGGGGTAGGGTGTGTGTACGTGAACTATGTGGGGGAGAGGGCCCAGAGGAGACCCTGCATCAGTGAGTGACAGGTTGTGGGGTGTGAGCCATGAATTCTCCCTCTCTGGGCTTTTCCCAGGTGTTTTCACAGGCATTGTCTGATGAGAAGGACAGGGTGACACACTCTCATTTTACAGACCAGGAAATTGAGGTCCAGAGAATGAAAGAAAGTTGGCCGAGAGAATGAAAGAAAGCAGTGTCAGCTGGTATTAGATGCAGAATTGGAAAGCAAATCTCGGGCCTGGGCGGAGAGCATCTCTGTAGGGACAGAGAGGGTGGCGTAGCTCCAGTCTATGCAGGGGTGAGTGGTCTGCCTCCCCCTTGCCCACACTCTTCACTCAGTTGCCTTCTGAACAGTTATCTTGTTTTCTTTGGGAGTGCTAAAAACAGCTGTTTTAATAATTCAGTGAAGAATGTTTATGGGCTTTGCTCAATACTTGGGGTCCTGAACTTAACCTTCAAGGGAGCAAAATATAAGTCTTAATTGGGAACATACAGGACCAGTCTTGGGCTCCCAAGGATTTCCTGGGTATCTTGATGGGCTCTAAGGCCACGACCAGTACCAGCTGTAAGCCACCGACACTTCAATTAATTTTCCTCCCAACCTATTTAATTTTCCTCTTCAATTATAAAAACAGAGATTCACTTGTGCAAGCTCAAGAAAATTTTTCTTTTATTTTTCTAAGAATTCATTTGGATGGCTTGGTTTTTCGCCAGCTTTCAGCGTGCTGTTGGGGTCCCAGATCAGCGGAGCTGGGGATGACATCACCAACATGACAGCAAAGGTACACTAGGATTAAATTCTCCTATAAAAACAATTGATAGGAGAACAATGAGTTCCTGGTGGGGCCCTGACTTGCTGGACAAAGTTGGTGATCCGACAGAAGCAGAGGGAAAGTGAGAGCGGCAGGGGAAGGGAGGAGAGAGAATCATCCATCAGGAACACTTCTCCCCTCCCCCCACCACAAACCCAGCCCACTTTGCCAGGAAAAGAAAAAAGGAGGAAAAATTTGGAGGCCACGGGAGAATCCTGAGACATCTGAGAACTCCCGAAGATGACTGTAGGGTAAGTAAAGTATCAGGCTTTTCTGCCCTCCCGCCATTAGGATTGATGAAAGAACCCTGTGGTCCCGAATGCATGCCTGATGGCGGGCACCTGGAGTAGGGCGTGGGCATGCGTAAGTGGATACACCTGGGCTAATACTGGGCTTTTTAAGGGTGGCGTCACGGGGATGCCAGAAGAAGCAAAGAGAAATAAGCAGAGAGCAAAGAAGCAGAGAGAACGTGAGCGACAGAGAAGCTGAGACCACCAGAGAATGCAGGAGAGCCCAGATGGAGTGAAGACTTGCTGGAGGCTGGGAGGCCCGCCAGCCTCCCGGCCCCCCTGCACTCCTGCCAGCTATGTACCCAGTAAAATCCCAATAAAAGCCTGAAAAACCACCGAGGGCTCCAGGACTCCTCCTTTACCCCATCTGCTTGGATTATAGAGATCCTGCTCTGTGTCCTCCTGCCATTACAATGACAGATAACAGACCCTGAGAAGACATCCTACCCAGCCCCACAGCACTCCCCAGTGGACCAGACCAAAACAAGGGGTAGCTCACTGGGAGCCATCAGAGGTCTGAGAAGCAATTCTCCCCCAACGTACATGTACACGTGTGTGTGTAATTTAGTTGTCTATTGTGTCTTTCCTTCTTTACTACTTCTGTTTTCTGTTTCCTCTAGTTTTCTCCTTTCTCCACTATAACATATTATCACTATTTTCTCTTCTTTCTGTTACTTCCCCTCCTCCTCTGTCCTCATCTCCCATCTTGCCCTTCTTTTCTCACCTTCATTCCTTTTACATGTCCATATCATCCTCTTTCCTCTTCTCTTATCTCTTCTTTCACTCCTTAATCTCTCTATATTCCTGTACTTTTCCAAGACACACCTAGAGGGACCTAGCAGCTCAGCAGAGAAGTACATCCTACCCAACCTGCAAGCACCTTCCAATGAACTTTGCCTTAGTGTGTGTCTGGAGGTGCAGTGCTCTACATGAGACTCTTGACTGCCATGGGCTGAGACTTTATATCCCATCTTACATAGTGGGGCCTGAAAAAGTAGTGGCTCCTGGAGCAAATCACAGCTCAAAACAACATCTACCATAATAGAAGACTGTCCGGACATGCACCCAAGTGGGAACTGCAGGGACCTCTCAACTCCCAAGTCTGGAAGCCCCTGAATACACCATAAAAACAATACACCATAGAATACACAATACACCATAGAAAGATAGTAATGGGAACAATACACCATAGAAAGATAGTCAACCTCCAGAACCCAATATTATGAACATAGAAGAATATCTCTGTCTGGCAGAAAAAGAATTCAGAATTGCCATAATGAAAACACTTAAAGAATTAAGAGAAAACATTAGAAAAGGAAAAAAATATAAATCACTGACTGAGGAATGAGAATGAATACCTAAAGAAGAAATTGAAGGAAGAAGAGGATATCCAAAGATTAGTAGGGGAGCTCAAGAATTCTGGGAAATGCCATCAAAGTAGAATGCAAGAAATGGAAGAATGAATCAGTACTCTTGAAAACACAGATATAAAAGAACCCAAAAAGAAAAGGAAAGAGAAGTACAAAGGGAAAAAAATGAAGAAACACTTTGAGAACTATCTGACACCATGAGGAAAGGAAATATAAGAGTCATAGGAATCTCAGAAGGCAAGGAGAGAGACCAAGGAGCCAAGAAACTATTCAAGGACATAATTGAAGAGAATTTCCCAAACATGAAGATGGAAATGAAAATGGATACCCAGGAAGCCAGAAGTACAGCAAATTACCATAATGAAAGGAAAACTAGCAAGACACATAATAGTAAAGTTTCCAAGAGTCTAAGCCAAGGAAAATATAATGAAAATGACAAGGGCAAAGAAACAGAAAATCTATAAAGGAAAACCAATCAGGCAGATATCAGACTTCTCTGAAGAAATACTATAGGCAAGAAGAGAATGGAGTGCCATATTTTAAAAACTCCAAGTCAAGAAATGTCAACCAAGAATACTTTACCCCACAAAGCTCTCTTTCCTCTATGAAGATAAATTAAGGACCTTTCAGAAAAACAGAATCCCCAGAAATTCATACTACTAAACCCACACTCCAAAAAATACTACAAGAAGCCCTAAAGCCAAAACCAACAGAGGAATGAATAGGAAGAACAGAATAAAGTGAGGAATAGAATCATAAAAAAGACAAACAAAATGGCAAATATTGGTACCAGTGTATCAATATTAACTCTACATGTAAATGGATTAAACTCATCAATAAAAAGACATGGAGTAGGAGGCTGGATTGAAAAACAGAACCCAACCTTCTGCTGTCTACAGGAAACACATTTAACTACGAAAGATAAGCATAGATTGAAAGTAAAAGGCTGGAAAACAAGCAAATGGACCAAAAAAGAAGGCAGGAACAGCTATACTTATATCAGATAAAATAGACTTCAAAATTAAAAAGGCAAAAAGAGACATAGACTGTCGATATGTAATGATTAAGGGGACAAATACATTAGGAAGATATGACACTCATCAGCATATACTCCCCAAATGAAGGAGCACCAAAATATATCAGACAATTATTATCAGCCCTGAAAACAGACATTTCAGAAAATATATATGTACTAGGAGACTTCAACACCCCACTATCACCAATGGACAGATCAATGACAAAAAATAAACAAGGACACTAAAGTTCTGAGTAAGGACCCAGACCTCATGGGCTTAACAGACATCTATAGGACACTGCACCCCAAAAAATCTGAGTACACATTTTTCTCAAGTGCACACAAATCATACTCAAGAATTGATCACATATTGGGTCACAAAACAAACCTCAACAGATACATTAAGATCAAAATCATACCAACTATCTTCTCGATCATAAAAGCATCAAACTAGAAATAAACCATGAAACAAAAGCAAAGAACCCTCCTACTTCATGGAGATTGAAACCCACACTACTGGAAGACCACTGGATTAATGAGGAGATCAAAGAAGAAATTAAAAAATACCTAGTGATGAACAACAGTGAGGATACAACTTTCCCGAAAATATGGGGCACAGCAAAAGTAGTAATAAGATGAAAATATATAGCAATATGGGCTCACATCAAGAAGAAACAAGAAAGAACTGAAAGAGACAACCCAATATCCATCGCAAAGAACTAGAAAAAGAACAACAAAAATCCCAAAAGCCAGTATAAGAAAAGGAAATAATAAAAACCAAAGCAGAAATAAATGAAATAGAAATTCAAAAAACAATCCAAAAGATCAACAAAGCGAAAAGTTAGTTTTTAAGAAAATAAAAAAAATAGACAAACCTCTAGCCAGGCTCACAAAGAAAAAACAGGAGAAAACACAAATAAATAGGATCATAAATGAAAGAGGAGAAATTACAACAGATACAGCAGAAATCAAAAGAATAATCAGAGATTATTATGAATAGTTATATGTAAACAGGTTCAACAATCTAGAAGAGATGGACAAATTCCTAGAACTATACAATCATCCAAAGCCAGATAAAGAAGAAATAGAACACCTGAACAGACTAATACAAGCAGTGAAATTGAAACAGTAATCACAATCCTCCCCAAAACAAAAGCCTAGGACCAGACGGTTTCACAAATGAATTCTACCAAACATTCAGAAACAAACTGGTGCCTATCTTACACAAACCCTTTCAAAAAATTGAGAAGAAAGGAATACTACCAAATACGTTTTATGAACCCAACATCACACTAATACCAAAACCAAACAAGGACAACACAAAAAGAGAAAACTACAGGCCAATCTCCCAAATGAACACTGATGCAAAAATCCTCACCAAGGGCCTCCCCTAGTGGCACAGCAGTTGAGCACTGGGCTGTGAAGCTGCCAAGAGCCTCTGCAGCACCGCTTAGATCCCTGGCGGCCACAGGGGCGACAGTCCCACATGGCACACAGACCTCTCCTGCCACGCCCGCTGCTCCCCTCAGCAGTGTATTTCTTCGTCAGTCTGCTTGTTCTGTTCCCCATTGTTTATATGAACCACATCTTCTTGATCCAGTCATCTATTTTTGGGCATCTGGGTTGTTTCCATAGATTAGCTATTGTAAACAGTGCTGCTATAAACAGGTGCCCTTTTGAATTAATGTTTCCGTGTCCTGGGGGTAAATACCTAGGAGTGGAATTGCTGGATCATATACAAGGGAGGGTGGGAATTGTATGGGGACTATAACCAAGATGAAAATGCATACATTGTGCAAAAATGAAAATGAGTAAAAAATATATAAAATTTTAAAAATAATAATAATAAAAAGATAATAAATCATGACCAAGTGGGATTTATTCTGGGGACACAAGGATGGTTCAACATATGAAAATCAATTAATGTAATCCAACATATTAACAAAAAGAAAAAGAACAACCATATGATCACACCAGTAGATACTGAGAAAGCATTCGACAAAATTCAACATCCATTTATGATGAAGGCCTTTGAAATTCTTGGGATGGAAGAAACATAGCTTAACATAATAAAAGCCATATACAATACACCCACAGCCAATATTATCCTCAATGGTGAAAAGCTGAAAGCCTTTCCCTTAAGATCTGGAACAAGACAAGGATGTCCACTCTCACCAGTGCTTTTCAATATAATTCTGGAAGTCCTAGCCAGAGCAATAAGATAAGAGAAAGACATACAAGGATTCCAAATAGGGAAAGAAGAAGTAAAACTATCACTATTTGCCGATGATAATATACATAGAAAATCCTAAAAACTCCACAGAAAAACTAATCAAAATTATAGACCAGTTTAGTAAAGTAACAGGGTACAAAATTAACACACAAAAATCAGTAGCCTTCCTATATGCAAATAATCAATCTGAAGAAGAAGAAATTAAGAAAACCATCTCTTTCATAATTGAAACCAAAAAAAAATAAAATAAAATATTTGGGACTAAACCTAACAAAAGAGGTGAAGGACCTATACAAAGAAAACTATAGGACACCATTAAAAGAAATAGAAGGAAACACAAAGAAATTGAAAGACATCACCTGCTCATACATTAGAAGAATTAACATTATCAAAATGGCCATCCTACCAAAAGCAATTTACAGATTCAATGCTATTCTGATAAAATTTTCAACAACACTCTTCAAAGAAATAGAACAAATATTAATGAAATTCATATGGAACCACAAAAAACCTCAAATAGCCAAAGCTCTTCTGACTAAAAAGAAGGAGAATGGAGGTATCACACTCCCTGATTTCAAACTATACTACAAAGCCATAATAATTAAAACAGTATGGTATTGTAACAAAAACAGACACACAGATGAATGGAACTGAATAAAAAACCCAGAAATAAACTGACATATTTTTGGACAACTAATCTTTGACAAAG